ATAATACATAGAAAACACAATTACATTTACTAACATTTATTATGACGTAATAACTCACCATACTCCTCGAACTCCCGGGGTCACCTCTCTCAGAGGTGAGCCCCACCAGCTGACTCGACGTATTAGACCCCCACGTTGGCTCGGCTTCTTCTGGGGGCTCCATGCGGCCGACGTGTCCTATCTGGGATGTTGTAAGGGCTGCTCCCAGACGGGGAGCAGGGGAAGGACACGACCGGCTTTGGGATGACAGGCGCTCCGCCAACATGGACTACGGAGCGACGTGCCCCTTCGCCTTAGCTGGCCTCATCGCGTTGCCCGGTGAACACCGACCTGCCACCGGTGGCCAGCTCCTACGAGCACCGCCGCTAGGACGGTGCGCGTAGCGCCGACTAACTGGCCTCGACCGCAGGGAGGCGGGGCCAATGGCGCTGGAGCGCGTTGGCAACCGAGCGCAAGTGGGCCGGGGCGCGCGGTGCGCCCAGCGGGCCACCGTCGCATCCGCGACACATTCATTGAAACATCCTATTCCTTAAAGGCAGTGGAGAAAAACTTTTTTCAGACGTATGGGAAAATTTTGATGAACTTCGGTGATTTCGAAAATTTTGTGAAGTGAAATTTTTTGCCGTTTCAAGCAGATTTATATAAACTAAACCACTATTCAAAGACAGTTGTGGAATCACCCATTGAGAGATGCTTGATGATAGGGCTCATATCACAGCGATTAGGCAGGCTAATATATCGTATAGACGGTTAACTCTTTGTTCATCGCATTCCATTTTATCGTTCTTTTGACTACCCGACCAAACGTCTCAGCAACCCTACTGAAGTTCGAGATCGAAGAATTCATCACGTAATTCAAAGGTGGGCCACGTCCACATAGTCCGATGCTCGAGAGCACCCAGACCAGCAGCTGCTGCTAAATCGTTTCGACCCCGACCCTTTTAGACTCTGAAGAAGGCGATTCTGCCGACTTCAGCCCTATAAAGGTTATTTACCAACCCTGTGAGGAGTTTCAGAGATATCAACAGCGACATCGTGCCGAGGTTCCTTTGGCATATTGACACTTTTTCCACTATTAGGTCGTGGGGACGGACGCGATTTCGTAAGGTCCAGCCTCACCTCATATCCGTGGATTTTGTATTGTGAATGAACAAAAACGTGAATAAAGACTAAAGGATAAAGCATTTGCCGTTGATCAATCCCTTTTTGGGATGCGGCACGCATTCTACTTCCATTTGTACATTCGCGTAGTGGCGTTTGAATGCGATGTGGCCTATACAATGACTTGCGGGGGCCAGCCGATGTACAAGTCAGTGTTTTTATCCTCCCAGACAAGTCTGGTACCAATTAACCGACCCCGGAGGGATGGAAGGCTTGGTTGGCCCGGGCGACTCACGACCCAGGATTTGATCCCCGGACCGCTCGCGTGGTAAGCGCGCCACTTGTCACTACACCACTTCCGCCCCCGTAAAAAAGTGAATGCCATGTAATAATTTTAGCAACGTTCAATGCGTAAAGATTATCTAAGCATATGATAGTAGGATTTCGATCATGACGACGAGTAGTGGAAGTGAAAGAGCAACATTTGTTCACTTTCCCTGCTGTGGAAATTGGAACCATTCAACTCGCTTGTCCCAGTATAAACACTAAGCTTTCCATTGATAGCGCTTTTTCTTTACTCTTTGCAACAGCTTTTCATTTATGTGGCAATAAAAACAAAAAAAAACAAACCAAAAAAAACAATTTCCTACGGCTCAGAAAATCTTTCCTAAGTAGAGCATATTTAACCAACCTTTTGGTGAATCTTCTCGTTTATGGTTACGTAATAGTCCCTATTTCATTCGCTAGTATCAGAACTACTCAACTGACAGCTCACATGAACTGCCATCGTCCTACGACCATCCATTCCTTGGCGGACCAAACAGGCTGGCCCCGGCGTGAATGTGTTGAAGCCATACATGGCGGCTATTTTTTTATTTTTCGCAGTGATTAAATCTAAAAGTTAGAGAATTAATTGTTCAAGGTTAATGGCTTCATGGACGGGGATTCCATTTTTATGGACCGTGTGAATAATAGCACAAGCTCCCCCCCTATAAAATTTGCTACCTTCGCGCTCACAAAGTTCGCCACTTATCACCGCATTCGGCTCCAACCAAACGGCGTTGAAATTTCATTGATAAAAAACGATGTTATGATGTTTGCACTGGTTTGAGTTTACCAGCTGCTATCAACTCAAGAATGAGGAGTAAGGAATTCGTATCCGATAATGGGAAAAAAGCACCTCCTTCTCCTGCCTCGCAATGTTCCTTATATTAAAGGAAACGGTCGTGCAAATGCAACAGCCGGTGTTTGAAAGGCCAAAAGTACAGTCATTAAATTCAGTACTGATAAGAACGGCTTTCACACCTTCGCTTATCACCACCATCGCTTCGCTTTGTTTTCGTTGTGGCCTTTATTTCTTTCGCTACATATGGTTCTTATTGACTCTTCCCATTAGATTTTAATCTAGAACATATTTGAAGGGGAAGTTCACAGTTCTTTCCCACAAGAGATCGATTTCTCGCCCATTTACCGCTTGCAATTCAATCGCCTGTAGCTAATCCTTGTCCATAAACTAAAGGCAACAATGGCGTGCTTGTGTTTTAACATCGGCTGATCCCTAAAAGCCATCACGAGAGGTTGAAACCGGTAGATTACCATTAAGGGTTAAACAATGAAAAGTCACAAAAGTGCATTGAACGATTCACTCGGTTTGATCCGATCCTACAGTGATATTCGGACAAATTCTCCCGGTGTGTTGCAACTCAGACTGATACCAGCCCTGCCTTGTGAAGTGGAAAGAGCTGCTTTCTGAAGATTCCAACTCAATACTTAACCTCGGCTTCAAAAAAATTGGGGAAGAAAGCAAATTACAGAAACTTCTGATTCGAAAAGTAACCTTGATTTTTGCACTATTGATAAAGTTATTGGAGCAGGAAAGGGCGCTAATTGAAGTGCAAAAAATATCCTGAAGCGTCAGTCTCAGCTTTCAGTGGTGGCCGTTTTTCTGATTGAAAATTAGCTTAGTGAAGAAGAAACTGGAAGAAAATTCTAGTAAGTATCTACTGTGTGCTGCAGGAGTTTCCCAGCACTACAGGTTTCCTCCTGTAACTGAAAGCATTTTTGCCTTTTTGGTCCCATTTCCTAGGCTAAAAAAAGGCTCCCTCTATTTTCCCACAAATTGGTCATAGAGATTTTTTCACTCGCTCGTCACGCGCCTATGCTCACTCATGGATGGCACGCTATCCCTCTTTTCATGCGATTCTTTTCAATTTCCAGTCCTCGATCGCAAAGCCTATAATCATTGTGACATCTATCATCCTTCATACAGATCAAAGTCTGACGTCGCTGTGGCGCAATATGGTATTTTCCGGCGAGCAGTTTTACCTATTCAGACCATCGGCAGTCGGGCAACGCTTTTTAACTACCGTATCCCCAACACAAGCGCTAACAACGTCTCGTAACTCTCGTCTCACCAACGACTACTAACTCGACCGTTGCCGCTTGACAATCCAGCCAACATGAAAGGCGTCCGTTCATTTCTGTCGTCTTCTAAGGTTTTCATTTATGTCTAGGAGCTACAGTAGGATATGTTATGCTTCGCGAGCGTTTACCGATGACCTAAACATGCTCGATCTTCATTTTCAGATGGTGTCATGGCTTCGGAAGAATCTGTTGTTGGTGATGACCATCGGTTCTGTGATCGTCGTCGCCTTGCTTGGGTTCGCCGTTCGTACCCTGCACCTTTCACCACAGGTATTTCTTCTAAACTTTCTTAATAGTTATTTTAACCGCACCTGGGAAATGGGATCTCAAAAAGGAACATCCACAAAATATTTTTTTGGAAAAAGAAGCATCGGTC